CAGGACTCAGTCTGATCTGTTGGTAGAAAAGAGACAATATACTGGCATTTTCCAACACAAGCAAATGCTTTCCAGTGTACCTCAAGAACTCAGTAGCTTTTATTAATTTTTTTTTTCTTTTAAATTTATTGTTTTAAATTATTATTATTTAAAAAGAATGAATTCAAAATATCCAGAGTGGCATTTAGTCAGATGAACCCATATCACTGACTTCAGTGATCTTCAGTCACCCAAATCCCAACCTGGTAGAGGGAGAGAAACACCCGAGGAAAATAGAAATGCTGTGAAAATCCCCAGGAAAGCAAGAGCTTTCACCTCCCTCCAACTTTTGTTTCCCTCTGTAACACCCAGCTCTCTCTTCTTAAGCCCACACTCTCCTTTAAAGCTTCCTTGTTCCTTCCCAGCCAAACCTTCCCCATTTTACAAGCTGAGACAGTGACTACAGCTGAAGTTGACAAGCTGAGTAAACATGACAGGTTTTGAACATGATGTTAGATTACAGTTGCCTGTTACTTGGTTTATTTATAGTGATATATTAAGAGGAAATATTTTGATCTTTCAGCTGTCCTGTCATGTTTTATAACAGTAGGATTATGGCTTGCCATGAGAAAGAATGAGATGCTCAGATTTGACAAGTGATAACTATTCAGAGGCTGTCACGGTAAGACTGATGATGTGATGCTATCTCCGGTAACCTGACAAGATGTAGTAGACAAGCTTCCATTCCTTTTTCTTTTTTTCTTTTTTTTTAAATATTGCTTAGAAATGTGTAGCATGCTCAGGGTAAAATTTGCATGGGAATTCAACAACGTATAAATTTAAAGTGCCTAATTTACTTTACAAAATACAGTTTAAGCACTCATGTTTAAATATTATTTTGTCTCTTATCTAAGAGATATGATCTGGGAGTCCTTTTTATGTGGACTCCCAGATATACATAATTTCAGAAAACTAGCACACCAAATCCAGCAAAAGAGTGGATTAACTGCTGCAAAATGCGTCTTTAAGTCAGCAAATCAACACAATATATTCACGTGTTTCACAACTACACAAACTCCGCTATTGTAAACCAAAACAAGATGGAATCAGTAATACTTTGCGAAGAAATGCAATTATCAATTCTACATTAAAGCACATTTTAAACCCATTCAGCGCTGTTACTGCTGAGAGCCCTATAGGGTCCCCTATTTCTGTATAAAACAGGGCACTGACAAAGGCAATTGCAAAACACTTTATGAGATTTTTTTTCTGGATAACTCCAAGTACTTTGACACACCGATGTTTCAAACTTACCAGCTATTGATAACACTACATCTGGTCGATTTGGATTTAGTCCCAATGCAGAAATCTTGCCCTTTTGCCTGTTTGACGCAGGAAGCCATGTGCTGCCAGTGTTTCCTAGTTGCTACGGAGGTTGCCTCAGTCGTTACTACCAGGATCGGACATCCTGACCTCACCGGTTAAAAACCAGCGGAACGTGACTCCGGAGAGGACCATTTGCCTGCCACGCATCCGCTCAATTTCCAACTCCCCGTTGATCTAGATATGGCACTGCCAGACTGCAGGGGCAGAGGAGGGATTATGAGAGGGCGCAGTGTCCTCTAGGCTTTCTGCCTACTATTGCAGGGCAAAAAAAAAAAGCATCAAAAGGCACAGTTCAGATTTAGAAAAAAAAGCCCACCACCACTGGGTGTGACAAATAAATTGGTTTGAAACGCAGATAGAAAGGTTGAAGCTGAGATCAAATCGCTTTTCACAGTAAAGGAGAAGGATTAATGAATTCTACCCTTTTCCTGCGAAGTGCGTATCAAAAACATGCCAGAATACAATGCAGAAATCTACCTGTTAATCTCTGCTACGATCCCTGATCTTAATTTCCTCCTTAACAAAAGTTAACTCTTTTTCTTTCTTCTTTTTTTTTGGGGGGGAGGAGGGGGGAGAGGGGAGGAATACTTAATTGTGTTTTGTAGGCATTTTTCAATTCACTGCTATAAAAACAAGGTAACAGAGGGGATGATTGCAATTAGGGACAAGGATACAGCACTTCGGAAGTCTGTAACCATTTTCTGTACATTCTGCTGCACCCACAGAGTACCTGCTCTCATGCTGTCAGCAGAATTGTTGTTTAATATAAATAATACAATTCCCTTACATACAGCAAATGTTAAGAGCACTTTGCCAGTTATGAGCTAAAATCTCTTTACCATCTTCCCATAAATCGATTTTATACCACCTAGCTGAAACCATCAATAGTACAGAGGAACAGACCGGCAGGTCGGGGAAGACGACCCCAGACCTCAACCATTATCAGTGAAAGCCCCGAAAAATTTCTGTTGTGGGATTTTTTTTTTTCCCCGAGGCCAAGACCTTGCCAACCCTCTTTATACTGTGTATTGTGTTAGCAGTCCCAGTAATTTTTAAGGGCACTGACAGCTGAAGAAGAATCCAATTTTCAATAGAAATTAGGCTAAGTCAACAGTTTTTAATGGGATTAAAATATTCATTAATAAGAAAAGGATGGAACAGCACTTGCAAGTCGTCATGCTCTTCCTATGTTCAGTAACCGTGCTCCAGAGAGCAGCTACCCTCCTCTTTTTATTTTCCCCCGTTTAAACTAAGCTATCCTTTCTGTTGGCATCTAACAACATCCCTGGGAGCCTTTAAAAAGGCCTTTTAAGAGTAACACTGGCAACGAGACCAGAAAATCTTTTAAGAAAGTGCATGTGAGAGTAAACCAGTAACATTACAGAAAATGAGAGGAGTCTCAGTCCCATCAGTGGAAAGATTTTATTTTAAAGCATGCAGGTTGTGATGATACGTACAGTTACTTCACACGTATAGGTATTACATTTTTGGTTTGGTGACAATTTTAGAAGTGTTTTCCGATTTCCATGAATTAACTAACTTAGGCCATTCAGATGAGATTTCCCCCGTTGTCTTTTTTGTATCTACGCGTAGTTACTATCTGCAAAATCAAAACTCTTTTCTGGGGGCTGTTACTGACGCGTGCTATGATCCGCTCCTAAGATGTGCCAGGAATGTGCACGTCATTAATAATATAGTGGCTACTAGGTTCCCAGACAGGATACCTTTTGCTTGGTTTGGAACAGTTTAGATCGTCTTCAAAAACTGGTTTTGTTTGTTAACTGCTTTAGGTGCTTGGCTTGGCTCCATGACATTTTTTTCTGCCACCACAGAATCACTGTACAGAACAGACTGTAGGTAGGTAATATATTTTATTGCAGCACGGAGTGTCTCTACTTTGCTGAGCCGTTTCTCCAAGTATTCCTTAGGTAGGTGATGCCTCAGTTTAGCGTAGCCTTCATTGACACATTTAACCCTCTGTCTTTCCCTCTCATTCCTCTTCCTAATGAAAGCTGGTCCACAGGAGTACTCACTTCTGCGGTAACTGGAATGGGGCATTTGGTATAGAAGTTCTCCGCAATGAGATGCTCAGACATGAAAGGAAGGAACGACAAGTCTTCGGAGCAAGTGACCTGGTTTGGTGTTTCTGGGTACACATGAAACGTGACCACTGGGTCGGCACAGAAAGGCCTAGCCAGCTGTATGCGCTGAGTCTCAGTACAGATGGACAACTTGTCCATGAGGTTACGGTAGCTTTTGCCATCCATCAGGTTCTGCATTTAACCTGGAAATGCATAATTACATAATAGTTTAAACAATTCATACTGAACAGTAGAAAAAACTCACCTGCACTTACCAACACTTGGCATTACTGACATTTTCCAGAAGAGACTTTTAATGCATTTGTGACATTTCAGAATGGTGTTGGAAGATCGTTACATAGAGCAGACAATGTCCCATTTGAAAACACAAGAAAGTGCAAGTCAGCAACACTGATTAAAATAATTCACAACAGATTAAGAAAATAAAGCCATAAAAGCTTCCTAAAGGAAACACCAAACAGTCTCCTTTCACCTCAGCTTTAGAAATGAAGAGAATCTACCTTTATGTACTCCACATAGGTCCAGCTTGCTCCAAATCCACCAAAACTTACATCTCTACAATACACAAAGCAGGCCAACATCTGAGGCATACTCTCCACCCCCTTCTCCTCCTGAAAAAAATTAAGATCTACAATTCCAGTAACAGACTCCCTATCCATACCAAAAAGCCTTCAAATTATTTTTTCTTTCTATTCATTTGATGTCTCATTCACTATACTATCTTAATTAGATGGAAAACTTGTGCAGGGAATGGATCTCAACCTTAATTTTATGTCTGTCAGGTATTACATCCATTCTACATAAAAAATTTTACAAGAAGTTTAGAGGATGAATTTCTACTAAACCTGACATCTCCTTGGGTCCTCACGCTCCTGCACTCACCTGCAGATTAAACACAGGTATGAAAGACTAAATACAATCCTACTGATAGAAGATTATGAAATAATCAATTTATTAAAGGAAAAAATGCATGTCCTAATAATATTGTTCCAATTATAAATTACTTTACTAAGAAGGGACTGCACAGAGTCGTTGGGGCACTGCTAGAAACCTGTAACTCAGACTGGCCTACCAAAACCACAGACCCTCTCCTCAGAGCAGCATTACAGCAGGTGTAACTACTCAAATCACCCTTACATATTTATTAGAAAGACAATCTTGCTGTGTTTTATAGGAAGCTACATTATAGTGCCTTCCCAATATCATTATTCAAACGGCTAAATATCAGCATGACTGTAATGATTGTTACCTAATAGCTACTTAAAGATAAATTTTTAAATGACTGGTTAATTTTTAAAGAATTACTGTGATCCATCCTCACGGATTGCAAGCAATACTTGCCTACACCAAATCTATCAAAAAATGCTCTTACTCACCATCCACTTCCACATCTATACATTGCTGCCTAAAACACTTAGGCTATATTACACCCTCTAAAACGGAAAACACACCTGAACATTAAAC